GGTTGTTTTTTTTTTTTGGGGGGGGGGGGGGGGGGGGTGGAGATCAAGATCAGAATCTTCTACAGTAATGAGCAGTACACTTTGGAGTTGTTAGAACCTTCAACAACTAATTTAATAGCATTAGAAAGTGTGAAACAGGTGTGTTGCCTGGGTAATTAAGACACCTTAACATGTTTCACAGGAAAAAAATGTGACTTTAGGAATTTTCTCGGTAATCTGGAAGTAGTGTACTCATAAACATATTTGCTGCAATGGCGTACCCCAAATTATTGTGACATTTGAGATTTATGATATTTTTACTGTATTCAGTACCTTTGATTACTGTTGAAGCATCGTAGTGTAAATTTTGTACTTGCTGGTATGTTGCTTGAAGTGTTGAACAATAATGACCACTCTTTTTTGAATCTTCTTACTTTTAAAATGTTGATGTATAGAAATTATTCTTTATTAGCTGGAGTGCTAGTCTCTTTTTTGCGAATACATGGTAGTAGTTCTTACTGGTTCAAATGAATGATCCTGTAATTTCTAAACTTTAGAATCCTATGGTGGCTTTGTTAAAATCTTTTGCCAATAATATTAACAGGAGACTCAAAAAAATGCAACCTCAGCAACCTGGATATAATAGCTCTCGTGTTTACCTGGAGCTTCTTGCTGAATTGCCCTGGCAGAAGGCTAGTGAAGAACTTGAATTGGATATAAAGGCTGCAAAGGAGCGTCTTGATGGTGACCACTATGGTTTAGTGAAGGTCAAGCAAAGGATAATTGAATATTTAGCCGTTCGAAAGGTTGACCAGTTATCTGGCTAGTGTTGCTTTGTAGTCTTGATTTTCTTATTGTTGAATTTGATGTGACTTCAATTTTGGAAATAAAAGAAAGTGACTGATTTAAGTATGCAATGCAGCTCAAACCAGATTCAAGAGGCCCAATATTGTGCTTTGTCGGCCCACCAGGTGTTGGAAAGACATCTTTGGCATCATCCATTGCTGCTGCTCTGGGCAGAAAATTTGTACGCATATCCTTAGGTGGTGTTAAGGATGAGGCCGATATTAGAGGGCACAGGAGGACATACATAGGAAGCATGCCAGGGCGTCTTATTGATGGATTAAAGGTAGAAATCTTTTCTGATGATAGAACCTTGTGTTAAAATTTACAGTGATTATATGATGTCTGCTCCATTATGTGCTTGGGGCATATTGAGTTAAATATTTGCCTAAGTTCTAACTACAATGACATACAAAGGGTCTGGGATGTGTGTTATGCTGGGGATCTTTGCTCCAGTGATTTTATTTTTTGTTAAGTCCAATGATAGTGAAAAAACGATATTATATCAAACAATGAGTACAGAGGTTTACATGGATGGGTGAGTCGGTGACATATATTAACATCTGAAGGGTTGGGTATTATCCGATAAATTGGTTGGTACCCACTATCTACTTGATTGAATGCCTCTCTGCATAATCCGCATGCCCTTCTATCTTTAATCTCTCTTTCTCTCTCTCACTTGTGCTATTTTTGAGTCCTGGAACGATTTGATTTTGTTCCTTTTGCCTGGTTAACAAACATCCGAGTTTTTGTTGTATTCTTTTGTATGAGACTGAAATATTTATTGTTTCATACTCAGAGAGTGGCTGTTTGCAATCCTGTTATGCTGCTGGATGAGATTGACAAGACAGGTTCTGATGTTCGGGGTGATCCAGCTTCAGCATTGCTGGAGGTTCTTGATCCTGAACAGAACAGAACATTTAATGACCAGTATCCTATTTCCTTTAGGATTTGGTTTAGTGAATCACTTATTCCTTTGTTCTCCATGAACCATGATTTCCATTCGTGTGCTACGGTGTGTCTGTATGCTGGCTTTTTTTTTTTTTTTTGATGAGGTTTGAGTACCTCTCAACACTATGGCTCATGACTTGGGTGTTTGGCTCAGTAATCTTGTATATCTGGCTGTTAAATTTGTGTTGAGACTTGTATCTTAGACTGCAAGACTTATGTTTTTTGGGTTCTTCAATCTACCATTGTTTTTCATCACCCTTCTTGTTCCTCATGGATGCTCACAAAATTATTAGTATGACTTTTATGGTGGAATTTATTTCATTTGGACTGTGTTTTAGAGTACTTTAGACATTTGAATAAGAGTACCCAAGATCTGGTAATGTTAGTCTTAGTGTGTCCTAGTATTGCACTTATTCATGTAATGTTATATAGCTAAATATATATAAGTGAAAGTATGCATCAACTACTATTACATTTTGACAGACTTACATAGGCAACACATCTAAAGTGATTCCTTAATTGAAGTGTTATAGCTACTTAAATGTTCCATTTGACCTTTCAAAGGTAATTTTTGTGGCAACAGCAAATAGGCTTCAACCTATTCCTCCACCACTCTTAGACAGGATGGAAGTCATTGAGCTTCCTGGATATACACCTGAAGAAAAGCTCAGGATAGCAATGCGACATTTAATTCCACGAGTTCTGGATCAGCATGGCTTGAGTTCTGATTCCCTCCAGATTCCCGAGGTATTGAATTCATGATGCAGCAGTTTCATTAGAATATGAGTAATGAAGCAAGTCCATCTGTCTTTCTCCTATGTGGATAAAGCCATTGAAATATTACCATGCCTTTAATGATTCGCTAGTAAATCTCTTTTCAATGAGTAATCATCTCTTATGTGTATCTGTATGCAATATTTCCACTTTTTTTTTTCTCTCATCCAATTATAGCTCAAATAGCATCTAGTAGATTGTTGGGTGGAATCAAACACTTTATGGTTGGTCATCTTTGGGAAGCGGAAAGTTTCATAATCATCTTATTTTTCTTTCATTTACTATTAGCTGTAGCTTTGTTCAATGAGATGAAAGTTACCTGAGAATTTCATATAAAAACCTCGATTATGTTTGCTTGGTTGAAGTCATGTGTTCATTAGAGCAGGCGCGGCTAAGCTCAAATACTTAATGAGTGAATTTTCTTCGTTTTAGATCTCACTTTAATATGCATCAGCTCTGTACTTGATCAGAGTATCAACTGAATAATTCCTGTTGCTGCCATTTCTGATCGAATTTTCTGTCTTACTGGTTTAGAAAAAATATTAAGAAAAAAATGAGTGTATGTAATTACAAAACTCATGTTCAAGGGCAAGATCTATGAAAGCTTTGGGATAAAACAATGCATTAGTTTCTGGTTTATCGACTGTTGCATGAAAGGATTATAGCCATTTGCATGAGGCATAGAGATTTGTGGAACAATGATTCCATTAGATTTCTAAACCCCCCTCCCCTTTTTTCCTTTCCCTTTAATGTGTTCACAATTCAGCCTATAGTGGCAGGATGCAATGTATTAGGAAACTGAGTGGGGGTTGGATATGGTATACTGTCTTTTTCGAATTTTTTTTTTCTCAGAAGCTCTGGTAGGGGGTCATTTGAGCCACTTTTACATTAGATGCTGAATCATTTCATTTCAGTTGCAATTATCTTTCTGAGTTTTTTTTATATTGGTTTGCCTTCTTGTTATGGTAGGTTATGGTGAAGCTTGTCATCCAAAGGTACACTAGAGAAGCTGGTGTTCGGCATCTGGAAAGAAAGTTAGCAGCCTTAGCTCGTGCAGCAGCTGTAAGAGTTGCAGAGCAAGAACATGCTGTGCCACTCAGCAAAGATGTACAGCAGCTTGCTTCACCGCTGTTGGAGACCAGACTTGCTGATGGAGCTGAAGTTGATATGGAAATCATTCCTATGGGTGTTAACAATCATCACATACCAAATGAATTCAGGGTTACCTCACCTTTGATCGTAGATGAAGCTATGCTGGAAAAAGTGCTAGGGGTAATTAATTTTTCCTCTATATTATTAATTAGAATGCATCGCTTTTCAAAAAGTATTGCAAGAAACCAGGATTACGTTGATCAGGAGCTCTTTTCTCTCTGATAATTTCCTTAGCAGATCCGACATTTATATTGTTTGTCCTGGAATGCAGCCTCCAAGGTATGACGATAGAGAAACTGCAGAACGGGTTGCAACTCCTGGGGTATCTGTTGGGCTTGTTTGGACAGCATTTGGTGGGGAGGTCCAATTTGTTGAGGCTAGTGCAATGGCGGGAAAGGGTGACCTACATCTCACTGGGCAACTTGGTGATGTAATCAAGGAATCCGCACAGATAGCATTGACATGGGTAATTCTTTCCTCGCCATCTTTTGTTAAGTCATGTGTGCTAAACAAAGGCCAAACATTTTTCCCACCATTTTCCGCGAACATTGTTCTATAGGAAATAAGTGAGGCAAGTTGTACTTTCCTCTACGCAAGTTATTAGTGTCAATAGACATATCATTTTAGTCGCTTGGGAAACAAAAATGTTTTGAAAATGTTTGGAAAGCATTTCGAAAATAGAATGTAAATGAATAGGAAGTTTGAGAATTTATTTTCCAAACATTAGTCAAAATATACCAAAACTTCTTGAAACTCCTCGAAATATTAGTGAAAACATGCCAAAATATCTCAAAACTACTCGAAATATTCCGAAAACCTCAAAACATCTCGAAACATTGGAATTTCGGCTCCACCATTGATTCGTTTTGATCTCGTTGGAAATGAAAATGTTTCATCTGTTTGGAAATAAAATTTTGAACCTTGCTTATTGGTTCGTTGAGACAAATGCCTTTGGGAAGTTCTGACAGGTTTTGTATATAAACTGAATTTCTTATGGACCTTTCTATAGGCAAGGCTTGAGGCTTACCTTGTAAACACTTTGTAAAATGATGCCCATGATTTACCAAGGACAAACAAAAACTGGTCTCCTATAGACTTCTTGTTGAATAGGTTTGTCTTCTTCAGGCATATGCTGTTAACAGATTATAATTGATCCACTTGTTTACATAATCCAATCATAAGGTCGAAATAAGTTCTTACATAGGCCCTACCAAGAGGTTCATGTGTTTTTATGGGTTTTCGGAAGGTTTCATTGAATCATCTTCAAAATCAATTGTGTTGTATAAATGTATCAGGAATTTTCATCATGTAAACATCATTTTTGCTGTTTATGAGGTTGTATTTTTGTTTCTCCTTACTATTTTCTTCGGTTTGTCAAAGACGATTTGAATTATTTTCTATTAGAAAAATTGTGCTAGTTTTCTTGGAGTATCTATTCTCTTTCTTACTGCTTCATTTCCCCAGGTTCTAGGGTGTTATGTTGGGAAAATAAAGAGAATGTGATTGTGTGTTTTCTATGACACTCTTATAGCCTCCGAATGAGACTAAGCACTATGATAATGTCACTTAAGCCAAAATTTCTGGAATACATTAATTTTATTTTGATATGAAAAATTGCTTCAAAAATCACATCCACGACTTTCTATGCGTTCATGGATTTTATGGGCCATAGATATGCATGGTTTGTGACTGGTTCTAGATAATTACATTTGAAGTTTCTGTCCCCTACTGACAGAGCACAGAACTCTTAATTGGTGAATTATTGGTTTAATATTATAAAAAGGACGTATGCATGTTATATATTCATTAGTGTGTCTGAGAGATGATGTTCATCTACTGGTAAAATGAGACTTCAGGTTTTCTTTGTTGGTGAATTTATAGCTGTTCTTTCAACTGTAGGTAAGAGCAAGGGCAGCAGAACTTAAGTTGGCTTCGGCAGAAATGAATCTGCTGGAGGGCCGGGATATTCATATACATTTTCCTGCTGGGGCTGTACCTAAAGATGGACCCTCAGCTGGTGTGACCCTTGTAACCTCACTGGTTTCACTGTTCAGTCAGAGAAGAGTAAGGGGAGATACAGCAATGACTGGAGAGATGACTCTCAGGGGTCTAGTATTACCTGTAGGTGGTATCAAGGATAAGGTGTGCTTCTGATTCATTTCATGGGCTAGTTTCCCTTCCTGTTTGTGTTCAAAGCAAGAAAAATAAAAGTAGTGCCCTGTAGCTTTATGGATATGAATTACATATAAGTTATTTTCATTGGCCTACAACTGATTATTACATGAATAATTGCCTCCATGCTTGTTCAATGTTCATCAATAAAGTTGCCTCCCTTTTTGTTATCTGATGACACGCATGCATGTGGGACATACTGGGGACTCCTTTGTTATCATTTTCTTATGTTATATGAAACAGAGAACTAGTGAATGATTTGCCGAGGATGACTTTGAAAAATAGAGTGGGTTTGTACCTAACCTTTGGGGGGAATTATCTGCTTTTTAATTTCAGCTGGTCGCAAGACAGTCACAGAATTTATATATAAATATATGTACATATATATGCATTTAAACGTGTATATATATTTGGTTGATGTTGTGGCTGTTGTTGAACTGTTTGCAAAGATGGCTTAAGATCAAAGAACATCACCTGCTGTTCGAAAGAGAAAGAGAAACATGTTGATTACTTTTGTGGACTTGTTAGACAGGGCTAGATGGCTTTAAATAATAGTAGATTGTAATATTGGTAATGGTTGCACTGTAATGGGCATGAAGCATTACAAATTTTGCCTAATGGAAACAGAAATCAGAGGCGTTAGGCTGGGTAGATTGCAAAAGGTTACGGTCTGGCATGATGAAAGTCGGTAACAAAATGGGAAATTGGAGGCCTAATTTTTTTTTTTCCAGATTCACATTCTCCCAAAGTATAAAGATAGAACATTTTTTAAGTTTGGAATCATTCAACTAGAGATTTCCCATGATTTATAATGAAATTTGATTCTATCTTACGTGTGGTTTTGACATGTTGAATGAACTATTTAATGTTTTAAGTCAATCGTATAGGGAAACACTCGCACGTTAAATTTTTATTGTTTATCTGAATATTATGGAATAAAGGATATATAATTGTTGAAATAATGTATTATATTGTGTAAAGTATGTCCTCACAATAGACTTCAGTACTGATGTTGAGTGGTTAACAAAGGCGACATAAGGATTAACATGAAGGATCTTCAAACTCTCTTTCCAGTCTTCATGGCTAAGTCTTGCTCAAATTGGAAGATGTGAAAATGAGCCAAGTAAATTTGGAGTTGGGACGGTTTTTCCACTATAAGGGAAATGTCTCTACCCCGTTGAAACAAAAAAATCAGGAAAAGATGACACATTTATAGTCACAGAATTCATGGCAGTTGCAGTAGTGAAATTTTTTAGGACTCTTTACGCAGCTTGTAATGGGATCTGCCTCTTTGAGTCCGTTACCTAACGGCCATGAACATGTAGAGGCTGTGCATGTATATAACTCGGCCTCTCACACTCTTTCCCCTTCCCCACCATCTCCGCCACTGCCATACCCAAAAGAAAAACAAAATGGAGCGCGCAATCTGTAACTGCGTGATCTCCTTTGGTGGCTATAATTGAACACATGTACGATGATTTTTGAAGTGCATACATAAAGCTTATGAGCTTGGCTTAGCATCATAGAGATATTGAGTGTATCATTTGTATGCATTCTGTTTGATAGGATGCCTTAGCTGTTGAGTTCAGTTTTTTCTCAGTTCATTATGCTTATATTTTGGCATTTTTAGAAACATCTGTGCTTGCACCAAGATCATAAAATGACATTGTAATATACATGATACAGGTTTTGGCAGCTCATCGGTGTGGTATCAAGAGAGTTATCCTCCCAGAGAGGAACTTGAAGGACTTGATGGAAGTACCAGCAGCGGTGCTTGCAAGTCTGGAGGTAATTATATTTCTCTGCATTAACGGTGTTTATAAATGTTACTGACCATGTACTAATTGAGATGTAGTTGGTCAGGGACTTTGCCCATTTTGTCGTGTCCTGGATCAGTTATCTCATCCAAGGACCAAAATAGTATTTCAAAACGTTGCGATTTTTCAAAGAAATCAAAACGAATCAGTGATTCAATTGAAATTCCAATGCTTCGAGGTGTTTCGAGATATTTTGAAATATTTCTAGTTGTTTTGACATGTTTCCACTCTTGAATGTTTCAATTCAAGATGTTTCAATATATTTCAACCAATGTTTTGTAAATAAAATCCCAAATTTTTTATCCCTTTTCATTTTATTTCTCAAATGTTTTGAAATATTGTTGTTTCTTAGGTGACTGCTTGATTTCATATAATCTTGAATCTGAATTGCTTAGTGTCCTGTTTGATCTGCAGTAATAGCTGTTCTCCAGATCCTTTTAGATTGGGGGAGATTTATTAATCAGAATCACTGGGGTTTAGTTAAAAACAGGAATTAAAAAAAGAGTACAACTTGCTAAACTCCTGTTGTTACACCCCCCCCCCCCCCCCAAAA